GGAGTTCGCCACCAAGTAGCTCATCACCAAGGCACGTCACCACCGGGTCAAACAACGAGGTACTTAGCCAAAAAATTTATACATCACAAAAAATGGTACGTGACCAAAAACGGTTACATCACCTCCCTTGCTGTTAATTTTCCATCAAACTTCATTCACATGTGACATCACAGGATTGATATATTTTTAAAAATTCCTAAAATACCCTTTATGGTTATGGTGTAAACCGCAAACGAAGAGAAAATCCCACTACTAAGTCCACTCCATCTCCATTTCATTAGTGTGCACGTTCATGGATAATGTGCTATTCATGAGTAAGGTGTTTTTTTAATATTCAAGAACAAGCTTTTCATGATGTGGATTGATGTAGCGCGATCTGGCGACTCTCGCGTGTCTAATGACTCAGACACTGATTCGGATGCTTACCTTGCTAGTGGCCGAGCTGTACTAGGCCAAGCTAAGGATGGTCGAACTGTACTATTCTACAAGAGAGGTAGGATTAGAGTGCCCAAGTTTTTTCTACTCGGGGTGGGCACTCCAATGCTTAAATTTGAGAATTGTATTGAGAGTTCTTAAGAGAGAAGAGAATGCGAGAGCTTAATTGCACATACCTTCTCAAGTGAAAATGAGGGTTTTATATAGATGTGAGTGACACAAGTCCTCTTGCAACAGGTTTCAGATTCTCGCGGAGCCGTTTCCGTTCACTCGGGAGAACAATTGTGTTAGTTACATAATCTGCGTAGGGGTTGTGGTCCATCCGATTAACTCTGATGCGTGCGATGCGGTAGGCCAGCCTAATGGTCAACTCATTAGTACTTCAGAGATCTCGAACTAGCAATGAATCTATGAGACAAGTCAACAGGATCGCCCTACAAGTTGCCAAAGGTACACTTCATAGCTTGGCTGGTCTCTGGAGTAGGTCACTATATACTGGAAGACCTACCAGCCCGGCCTGGCCAAGGTATTTGAGGTCGGCCTGGGCAAAGTTCTACAGGTCGACTTGCCGAGGCGATCTGCTTACTCAGCATCGAGGTATCACTTGAAAGCCACGTGTCACGATGTAATTCGAAGGACCAAATTACCCCTCATCATGGGCCACAAAAATCTCCTAATTCAGATGTCATACCAACACTCTTTCATCAACTTTTCTGATCCTCTAGAGCTCACGGGTGGCAACTGAGGTAAACATTTTTTTCCACTCTTTTAAACCTAGCTTCATTGTCTCTAATTTTCTTGCTTTTAACTTCAAATTCTTGTCAAGCAACATTTTGTGGTGAGCAACACGTCTTTGGAATCTCCTAAGTACATCAATCATCAAAGAAAATACAAGTGTGAATAGAATTAGATTGACAATTTAACATTATAAATACAAGGAAAAGGCTTAACAGAAGGAATGCTGTACAATGCAGAACCCGAGACTTAGGAGCTTTAGAAATTCCAAGTTTTCTGATAAAAGGATTACAGTCTGAATCAATTCTTCCCTCATCTACAACAAGACTCGAACAAATGTTATTACAGGGCACAAAAATAAATAAAAAATAAAACAGAGGAAACCCTAAGCCTTCCAAATCGACAAACCCACGAAGCAAAAGGAAAACCTAGACCAAACACAGGAACTTAAAACCTAGAGAAAAGGGGAAAAAAAAAAGAAAGAAAAATAGGATATAAGAGCTTCTAAGTAAAGAAGGATATGTGCAAGCTTAAAAGAGAAGGGGAAAAAATAAAGCACGAACAAAACATGACATCAAGAGCAAAGACATGAACTAGTTACCTATTTCTTTGAAGATTTTCTTTTGAAGGGCTTTGGCAGTCCTTTTTCTAACTCACTGGACGAGAACGAAAGTGGAGTTGTAGGACCCGAGGATTTGACCTCAAAGGATGGCTCTGGCCATTGTGCGAAGGACAATGGAGAGGCACAGGAGTTGAGTGAGTGAAGAGTGAAGGATGAGGAGGAGAAAGGGCTCATGTCGATTGTAGATCGCCTTCTCTTGGCAACCCAATTGGGTGTAACATAGAAAGAAGTTGGATTTTATTTTGAAAATTTGATAAATAATGGAGGGAAATTTTGATATTTCACTTTTTTTCCGTTAGTATTTAATGATGATGATGTCAATTGTCAAACAGACTTAAGAATACATTAAGACAATATCTAAACAATAAGGGTAGAATTAGTCAATTTCCTAAACCTTGGGATACTTTAAGATAATATGTAAACGATAAGTAAACTCTCATGGTCATGGCTGAGATTGATCATTTGATCTGATCGTAGAATTGTTGGAGAGATCAGATTTACTCCTCACACCAATCTAAGGAGCTTAGAGATGATGTCAATTGTCAAAAAACTTAGGGGCATTAAGACAATATGTAAATAATAAGAATATGAAATTGATCATTTGATCTGATCTGATCATAGGATTGGAGAGATCGGATTTGCTCCTCACACCAACTTAAGACCGCATGGCATCCGTGCATTAAAACATCTTCCATGAATGATAATATCAAGGGCGAGAATGTTGATTAGTCGAATTCTTTTGGCCAGAATAGTTTCTCTCCGTCCAACAAAACACAGAGTCTAAATCTCAACTGTTGAAAAAGAAAACCTCGGGAAAAAGCATGGGCTTCTAGCCGATAAGGCAACTTTTTGCCTTTAATATTAATAATAATAATAATAATTAGAATATGATATTTTTTTAAATATATATATATATATATATATATAAATTAAGGGCACTGCGCACCGTTGCTCGTCTTCCTCTGCTAACAAAAAAAATAATTTATTGTGATAAAGAAGAGTTGTAATGTATTAAGAGATGACTCGGTATAGCCGTACAATTCCTCACCATGAAAAAGAAAAGGGGAAATAAAAAAAAAATCTGAAGTAAAAACAGTAAAAATCATGAAAAATCTCAGGATCTAGACATCGACCTCCCTGAATGTTCTCCGAATGTTCGAAAATACAATTGAAACAGGAAAATAAATTAAAAAGAAAAAAGCAAAAGAAAACCATACACACAGACACACCAGAGATGAGAAGGCGTCGATCGATTGAGGGATCTTACGAGATGAACAGGACCCTTGATGTGTTTAACGAGAGCGGAGCTGCACTGATTGTCTCTTGTTTCGTGTCGGTGGTGTCTGATAATATAATCTGCCTCCATCCTGGTATATCCAATCCATTAGCACTGATTGTCTCTTGTCTCGCGTCGGTGGTGTCTAATAATATAGTCTGCCTCCATCCTGGTATATCCATTACCGTTCATGGTGAAAATCCTGTCTCTGCAATCATCAACTCAACTCAAATAAGAACTAACTCCTCTCCGAATTGCTGTTCCAACACCGGAAAATCAGGAATTTCTCGATGATAAACCGCCTAAAATGAACTTCCTTGAAACCACTCCTGTTTTTTCTCTTCTCTCCTCTCTCAAAGCAGTCAATGAGATGAAAAAACAAAAACTGCACTCCTCACAATTCATCGATTTGGCTCTTGGCTTCTCTTTGCCCAGTCTCTCACACTCTCTCTCGTTAAAACCTCTAAACCCCCACTGCCATTGCGACCTTCAAGTAACGAAACCGCATTCTTTCATCTCATGATTCTCATCGTTTATGTTTTTGAACTGTGCTTTGAACCTTCAGTTGGCACAGGAAACCGTTTAGGAAAGGAAGACGAACAACAGTGCCAGTGCCTTTAATTGATATATTTTTTTTCAAAAACATTATCATATTCTAAGTAATTATTATTTTTATTAATATTAAGGGAAAGAAGAACATCTTATATCTCCTGTACTTATAAATAATTATTATATAAAAATTATTATTTTTATTGATATTAAAGGAAAGAAGAATTATTATTTTTATTGATATTATATAAAAATTATTATTTTTATTTCAAAAACATCTGATATCTCCCGTACTTATAAATAGTTATTATATAAAAATTATTATTTTTATTGATATTATGAGAAGCAGATCCCGTTTAAAACACATAGCTTTTTCACCTTCCACCAATAAATAGTTTGACGGAAAGAGTGAGAAACAGCATAGGGAATAGGGATTTGGGGAGAGAAGACGACGGCGATGTGCACGTTAGAAAAGCGCGGTAACATTTTCTTTCTAACTCTAATCCGCGACGATGAGCACCGGTTGAACCCCAAGCTCATCGGCGAGATTCGATCAGCTCTAAGCCAAGTTCATGCCGAGGCCACGCGCGGTTCGGTCCTGGTTACCACTGGCCAGGGCAAGTTCTTCTCCAATGGCTTCGATCTCGCTTGGGCCGAATCCGCCGGGTCCACCGGCTTCCTCCACCGGCTTCACCACATGAGCGGCGGCTTAAAGGCAATCATAGTTGACCTGCTCTCCCTCCCTATGCCCACCATAGCTGCCGTATCGGGCCACGCCGCTGCTGCCGGGTTCCTGTTCGCGCTTAGCCATGACTACGTCTTGATGAGGAAGGACAGGGGGTTCCTCTACATGAGCGAGCTGGACATCGGGCTTACCCTTCCCGATTACTTCATGGCGTTGTTGAGAGAAAAGATCCAATCGCCGATGGCTCGGCGCGACGTGGTTCTGCAGGCCGCGAAGGTAAAGGCGGAGGAGGCGGTCAAAATGGGGATCATAGACTCGGCACACGATAGCGCGGCGGAGACTCTGGAGGCGGCCCTGCGCATGGGTGAGAAGTTGGCCTTGGCCGCTAGGAAGTGGGATGGAGGGATTTATGCCGAGATACGGAAATCGTCGTTCCCGGAACTTTGTAGAGCGCTCGGGCTACAGAGCAAGACCATCGTCACACCACGGCTTTGAAGAATAAATAAAAGAAGGGACTAAATACAAAATGAAATTCTCGGTGGTAGTTTCCGGCGGTGCTTTGGCGTCGGCGGGGATATAATATTATTCTATGTTCTCCACGCTTTGTTTTTTCAAATCCAATCTCATTAACGTATTCACCATACAATTCCCCCCTTTCATAAATCAAGTTTAGCCTGTGTTGAATTGAGCTTTTTTTTTTCATAAATCAAGTTTGAATAGTGATCTGTTACGCTTGAACGGACAGAACAGTCGTAGGCATGCATTAATTGTGGTATGATGGGCATTTGTCGAAATTAAAAAAGTGGGAGTATTGCCAAAAAAAGGGAGAGAATTGATGCTTTGTAGTTAGAATCATGTATGTAATTACTCGGTCCTTAAATTAGTGTTGTTATATTCATGAGATTTATATGAATTTCCCTCTGCAGTCATGTATTATCTAGATCTTTCCACTATTGCCTTAGAGGTACACTTTGTGAAACCAACATTTTGAACCTTGCATGTGGTCATTTCTATAACATTTTTCACTCTAATTCATATAGCCCTTCTCTCAGGTAGCATATTCCATGATTCAAAGTTTCAAACCACATGAGATTAGCTGCATTACCAAATGTAATGAGCCCAATAATTACACAAAAAAGCTCTGAGTCATGTATATTTTTTTTGGTCATAAAGAAAATAGCAACAGCAATGGCTTATATCAGTACACTGTTTATTGTCTCAACTGCTATGACCATCTGACAGAAATAAAACTCATTTTAGTTGCTTGAACTCAAAACCTCCAGATTGAAGAATACAACTCTACCCGACTGATTCCTCTCCAGTCTCCTCCCTGGCGTCTACATACCACTTTAGCCAAGTATTGTTTCAACTCAAAACAATCAAAAACCTCCCAAGGTCTGCTAAATCTGCTGCTCATTGTTTAGCCAAGTATGGTTTACTAGCTAACCAAACGTAGACTTGGTCTCTATGCCCTCTTTACAACATTTTATTGACAAGGATTGTATTTGAGCACGTTAAATCAATAAATTGCCTTGTTAGGCTTCAAAGAAAAAAAAACTTCAGGTTGTAGAATACAATGGTTCAGTGTCGAGACCAAGGAGCAGTAACACAAAAAGATCACATTGCTTTAGATTTAAGGGATGGATGACAGGTTTTTTAAAATCAATTTTCTTGCATTTCTTGTCGCTTGAATCATGTAATTCAAGTAATGTAGATCAAATATTCTGAACAAGATTAACATTAATACGGTCAAATATCCCCCCTGGTATATAATATGGTCAAATGCTGCATTGAGAATGCAGGAGCAGTGGTTCATCCTTTGGACGTAGTTAATGAATGCATTAATGCATCTTTACCTCTAATGTTTAAGCTAGGGAACAGAACCAGAAAGATGGTATACGTTAAAACAGTTTGAACAATCGGCTGATGCAAAACCTGAGGGTTTTCTGTATATGTAACAAAAATGAAAAGAAATGCCCTAAAATGAATAAACTGGCATTTTTCCTTCTCTTTTTTCTTGCATCAGTTCAGTTACACATTTGTGGAAGCCAAAATCTTTTACCACTTTTCCATGTGAAAATATTGTACTACCCCCAATTCTCTCGTATCCTTTAGGTTGTGTTTGGTTTGATAGAAAATAAGAGCTTTCCCTCAACTTTCCGTTTCTCTCTTGTTTTCTATCAAAGCAAACATAGCTTTAGGGATTTATGTTGATCCAAAGATTTAACTACCCTCCATTATCAAATGCAAACTCTAAATTTGAGCCTGCAGAAAGCAATTCCTGCGCGTCACCTGGGGCCAGACAGCTCAATTGCTTCAATGATGAATGAAGATTCTTCAAGGGCATCACTGTAGTTTCTGGAGAAACTGTAAGCCCTTCCTCCACTAGGTATGTCAACTTGAGCTTCTTCTGTATGTATTAGTGGTCTGATCACACCTTCCAGTGTCTTTAGGGCTTCTGACATCTTTGGTCGGAGGTTGGGATGGGATTGTGTACACTGCAGGGCCACTTCTACTGCTTTTTCCAGCTCTACTGCATCAAAACATCCATTAAGATCCTTATCTACCAGTACCTCCAGTCTCTTCTCCTCGTGCAACGTCCTAACCTACAAATTTCAGCCAGACCATCATAACTGACATAATCACATAACAACTGTAGAAATGCAAGTCCTATCAGCAAATAACTAATAATGGAGCAATTATACCTTACTTTAGCCCCAAATAAGTTCACTACTGCTTAATATGCAAAAGAAGCAAAGTGAGAAACACCTCATATTGCTTCCATAACCGGACTTCATCTATAAGAGAATGCATAAAACAGTAACCAGGAAATGCACATTCTTGCACTAGGAAACAAGTTCTCTTCTACAGATGTAAGGAAGTATTTGTTTGACAAACTATAATTTGAATATAGATCAATCTTACATGGACCACACACACTTGAGCAGAGAATTTATGGAGGGAAGCCCCAAAAGTCATAGCATTCAGAAGTTCTAAAGAATTTGGAAAGAAAATGCTTTTCAAACCAGGATTTAGATTGGTAGTAAAGAATTTAGAATTGTACAATTAAATTTTACACTAAAAAGAACAATCTCCTTCATTTGAATGCATGATAGAATTTGTCCAATATTCAACAGAAAGGCTCATGACTAGGGGAAGTCTCAATATACACCAAATTTTGTTAACAAAACATTTAGGTACAGATTCTGGATTGGACAATTTGAACCAGCAACCACCTACTCAATTTTCTGATCTCTTTTACTTTTTCTTTTTGTTGATTTTTTTTTTTTTTTTTTTGGGGGGGGGGAGTTGGGGGTAAGAACATTTACTCAAATTTGGACAAAGATGGTTATCTAAATTGAAACTGCTCCTCTGAAAAACAGTTGGCAGAAAATAACCAAAACAAGCACAAATCCGGTAACAAAATTCTCTGAGGTAAACATGACTTTATAGAATCACCATGATTTTTGTGTTCAATCTCTTTGCATAGGAGATTGAAAATAACAATACCACAGACAATAAAAGTTTATTCAAATACTCAGAAGTAGTTACCCAGTCAAGAATCATTCCCTTCTGAATCTGGCCATTTCCTGCATCTAATGCCTTCTGTCCCGTTATGAGTTCCAAGAGTAATATACCAAATCCAAATACATCGGTTTTCTCAGAAGATTGCCCTGTAGAAAGATATTCTGGTGCAATATGTCCTACAGTACCCCGCACTGCAGTTGTGACATGTGAATCTCTCTGATCTAAAAGCTTTGCAAGGCCAAAATCCCCAACCACAGCTTCAAAACTTTCATCAAGTAAAATATTTGCAGCTTTGACATCCCTGTGAATGATTTTTGGGTTACACTGTTCATGTAAGTATAATAGTCCACGAGCAGCTCCAAGAGCAATTCGCATGCGTTTGTTCCAGTCCAAAGATGGCTGTTCACGGGGAGGATCTGTGCATGATAGCTGAGCTTAACTAAGAAACAAATGAAGCAGAAAATAGAAAATGACATCTAAAACTGCATATCAAAGCTAAATAGTCTTATTTCTATTCGTGAAGGATGGATTTTTAACAAATGAAAGCATTCAAATTTTGTATGCTCTTGAACTCAGTTGAGATACTTCTCAACATCTAACAGAAATGTGAAATGATAAATGTACTCAACTCATGAAAATGAAATTACTTTTTGTTTAGACTTGGGCGTGTTTCATAATTTGATAATTCAATGTAAAGAATAAAAAGTCGTTTGCTAGCTTCACTGCACCTTTGGATGCAATGTGAAATAAAACCATTTCATTTTAGTTTTTCATGGCATTTTAACATGTTAACATAGAAAATGGAGGCATTTACTGTTGTTATGAAAAGATGGGAATGAGTTATTTCTTGAAATTCTAAAATGACCTCACTTCTATCTTCTCTCTGGCAACCAGAAAAATGGCTCCATTTAGAACTTTTGCTCTCAAATGAAATGAAAGATACAATAAATCATTTCATTTCAGGTTGCATCCAAACATGCTGTTAGAGATGAATCACCTTTGCATACAGTTGCTAAAACATTCAAGACACTTCATTCGCAAAAGCAATGGTCACCTCTCTTAACAAAAGAAATGAAAGACCACATGCATTTCATCATTGAATACCCCCAGTTAAAAGAAAAAAGAACATTGTGTCAAGTCATTTGGTATCAAGTCCACAGAAGACAACCAACATATTGGAAACAAACCTCTCAAGCGGTCAGCAACACTCCCATTTGGCATGTAAGGATAAACAAGTAACCTTTCATTAGATGTCATGCAAAACCCATATAAACGTAAGAGATTCCGGTGGAGAGCCAAGCCAATCATCTCAACTTCAGTTTGAAACTGCACTTCTCCAGTAAAACTGGGATCCTTTAACCTTTTCACAGCCACAACTGTCCCATTCCGGAGACATCCTCTATAGACCACCCCATATCCACCTTGGCCTAAGATGTTCTTGGGGCTAAAATTATCGGTTGCAATTTGCAGTTCACGAAAAGAAAATCTCTTCAGATGACCCATATCAAATTCATAGTCCTGTTGCTCTGCAATAACTATAGTCAGTAAATCAGATAAATTAAAATCTTTCCCTCATTTCCAACTTTATGTATATGAATACATGAAAATAAATCACTTAAAAGGGTTTAAAGAGTACCATATGAAGCAAAGGGAACACCCCATCTGCACCAATTAACCCAACAAACAACCAGCATCACAGAGACCACAAAGGTACAGCTGACACCTATAGCAACATCAACTGCCCATTGACGATGACTACTGGATTTTTGTGATGAACTAGCATCTGTAAACAAACAACAACGAAAATGTTACACCTATAACATCTAATATATAATTTCTTTTCTAGACTATATCATAGCTTACCCAGAGCTGGTTCTGGAACATTCCTACAAGCTTCTTCCAATGATGAGGTGCAAAGAAACCTATTCCCTGCAACACTAAAGAATACAGGTATAGTTTCAACAGCTGAGTAAACAAAACAAATATCAAAAGACCTGCATGATAGAAAATATTGAACTGTCAATCAAGTTTAACAAAATACTAGAAAACATTCAGAGTTGCAAATCGAGGAAGAAAAATATCAAATATGACACAATTTATTAACTATGTCATCTTTGTACAACATTTCAGATGAATTACTCAGATCAAAATTTATCAGATGCTAACATGGGCATATCAGGTAATCAAGGCGCCAAAAGGGACTTTTTTTTTTTTTTGAAAATCACAAGTGATGGAAAAATGGCATATATACCAAATTCCATTATAAAATACTGTTCAAGAAACCTATTCTCTGCAGTTGGCCTAATTGTTTTTTCTTTTGTTTGGAATATGTTTTCTCTCTTTTTTCTCCTCAGTGTATCTTTCTTTTGTTCCACTCCCCTTTTGTTGCTTTGCTTTCTAGTGATATCTCGTCACTATCAGATGTACTTCTTTTCTTCTATTAATAAATTTACTTTTTTATTTACTACCAAAAAAAGTGATAAGGATGCCAGGCCTACAAGAAGCTCATATCTCAGCAACATGTGTTTGCCTTCTTGCTTAGATTGAACCAGTATATGAACTTATTAGGGTCCAAATTTTGGGCAACAAGGGTCTTCTATCCAAGAGGTGTATGCATTGATCCAATTTGAGAAGAGTAGGAGAAATGATATGAATTCTCTTGAGGGGGAGCAAATAGCCTTGGATGCAAAGGGTGGTATGATTAGCACGAGGAAGGGTATTTTCAGAAGAAAAGATATGAGAAAGATAAGTTATGGTGCACTCATTACCAGAGACCTACACATATTCGTGGTAGTTGTTGGGATTTAATTGGTAAATCAAACTGGCCTCAAGAGTTAGATAAAACCATCACCAAAGCAAAATAAGAAACCTGCTCCCAATAAGTATACTACAACAAATATGGCCTCCCAAGAACAAGCAAATAGCTCTACTATGAGTATGTATCAAGATTGTTCCCCTGGTTTAGATCCCAAGGAAGTGTTTATCAATGCCTTCCGTGAACATTTGGAAATGTATGGTAGGGCATTGTGGCAAATAGATTCTAGCCCTAGCCCCTCAACCTCCTTTGCATTTACATCAAGTAACATTGCCTTTGCTTTCCATGTGTCTTCCCAGTCTTCAGAATCACCTTGGATTATTGATTCCAAAGCTTCCAATCACATGACTGGTAAGTCAACTTTGTTTCAATCCTATACACTTCTTTCCGGTAGAGAAAATGCGAGACTAGTTGATGGTTTGTTCTCTTCCATAGCTGGTCAACGATCTATCTATCTGCAGGTTTCTTTCAAATGTGCTTCATATTCCAAATTTATTTATTAACTTGTTGTCTATTAGCAATATCACTCACTCTTTATGTTGTTTAGTAACCTTTCTTCCGCATTCTTGTGTGTTTCAGGATCTAGTTCCCAAGAAGATTGGTGGAGGGAACTTGGTGGATGGCCTTTATATGGAGAATAAAATTGGTCTTGCAACTATAAAGTGTATGAGTTAGTCCTTTAAAAGTCAAATTTATTTATGGCATTATCGCCTAGGTCATATGTCCTTTAAGTCATTAAAGTGTTTGTTTCTAGAATTCTTTAAGTTAGTGTCGATAATTGAATTGCAGTGTCATACGTGTCAACTACAAAGTGTACGAGTTAGTCCTTTAAGAGTCAAATTTATTTGTGGCATTATCACCTTGGTCATATGTCCTTTGAGTCATTAAAGTGTTCGTTTCCAAAATTCTTTAAGTTAGTGGCAGTAATTGAATTGCAATGTCATACATGTCAACTAAGTAAACATCGTAAAAGTTCCTTTCCTTTAAGAAATAAAATATAAGATTTTCCCTTCCATATTGTTTATTCTTATGTGTGGGGCCCTATTCTAATAGTGGCTACAAATATTTTATCATGCTCACTGTGTGTTTACCCAATGCGTTCCAAAGATGAAGTACCTGTTGGACAGTGTATGCCCTTAGCTCCAATCAGATTGATGTACTTGATAACATTTATTGTAAATGAATAAAAGTGCATAATTGATTCATGTGATTTGGTGTGTTTCTCTGTAATACTCTTAAACTGGACACTAATGAGACTCGTGTTAGTTTAGAATCTTCATAGCCGTTGGATAGATCTAGGGAGATTTATCCTACCAAGGCTGACATTGATGTGCCGCCAAGTTGGTTGGGGGGGTGGCTTGTCTCAGCTACCAGGGTGAGACTTGAGGTACATGTAGTGTGGGTTTTCTTGAAACCCTGAACTAGACCAAATTCCAATATTGCCCTAGACCTTGGAGATAGATGGGCAAAACTGGAATGTTACACCTTACCCCTAGACTCGATTATGGTACTGCACTAGGTGTCGAATTGGGCCATCTTTGATATGCCAATCAGTGAGATCCTTAGAGGGGGTCAAAACCTGGGTATGTTGGGATAGTTCGAGAATTCACCTTAGTGGGTGATCATAGTGATAGGATCAGCCCCTTTGTCGGACAAAGTGAATGATCAGGGAATGCACTCTCTTATGGAAACCCAAACTACCGGCAGTGGATTTCAAATGTGTTTGAAATTTGGTTTTGCAAAATATATTTATATAAAGATATACTTATATATTACGGTTTCAAAATTGTTTGCAAAAGGTTTTAATTCCCAGGATCCATGTGAGTAGAGAGTGCAACACTGTACCTTGCAGCCGAGGGAGAGGTCTTCTTTTGTTGGGCAGTGTTTGATCATTAAGGGCTGAGAAATTAAGTGTAGGACCATTGAGGGTAATACCTGATGGGCTAATCTTGCATCTGCCCACAATCCTTGGGTTTTCATAAGGTGGCTGGACCTAAGGACCATTTATTGTAAATGTTGGGCCCATTAAGAGCCCATGGTGATGGACTCAGGGGTTCACTATGTCCTACAGTGAATTCGGCCAGGCCTTGTAACAGATGCTGGATTGAACCCATGTGGCTGATGTGTAGATCGATGTTAGGGTCCCACGCCATACAAAGAAAGCCAAGTTAGCCAGCAAATTAAAGGGTAAGTGAGCTATGTGACTTAATGGGCCTAAAGCCCATTTCGAACTGGGCTTAAATTAGTTAATTAAAAGGGGGCAAATTTTGATTTATAACCTTATTAGGATTAGTTGAAGGATAAGACAAGTCTTATCTAGTTAAGAGTCCAGATCCAAATATCAGATTTGGATCAAGAAACTCTCTCCTAATTGGATTAGGAGGCTGATCCAAAGAAGGATATAAATAGGGGGCAAATTCCTCAGTTTAAATACACTCAGCAACCTGCAGAATTCCCCTTAGTTCTTGTCGCCCCTACCGAGTTCGATTTCCACTTGTGGAACTGATCAAGAAAGGTTCTTGATATTGTTTCTTGCTGGAAGAAACAATTCTAAGTTGTGCTCACCAGCCCTTGTTCGATTCTTGCTGAAGAATTCAGGTTCTTGCTGAAGAACCATTCTGTTGATCTTGCTTCACTATCACTGTGTCATCTTCAGTGGAGGCGGGTTTTGGTCTTCTCTTTGGGCGTTAACACCTACGTTGGGAGCTACTATTACTTCGTATCAGGTATATCCCTCACTTCCCTTTTGGTTTCAAATCTGGTCCGGTTTTGATTCAAGAACGAACCTTGAAAATGCAGTTTTCTAAATTAGGGAATACGATTCCCGAATGGGAGTGAAAGAAATTTTTGAAATTTCGCCCAACCTTCCTGCAGGGTTCGGCCATCCATATGATGGATCTCCCATCCCTTCATTTCAAATGTGTTTGAAATTTGCATTGCAAAATATATTTATATAGAAATATACATATATATATTGTGGTTTCAAATTGTGTGCAAAAAGTTTTAATTCTCGGGATCCATGTGAGTAGAGAGTGCAGCACTATAACTTGCAGCCGAGGGAGATGTTCTCTCTTGTCAGGCAGTGTTTGATCATTAAGGGTTGAGAGGTTAAGTGTAAGACCATTTAGGGATAATAAACCTGATGGGCTAATCTCACATAAGTCCATAGTCCCTGAGCCTTCATAAGGTGGCTGGACTCAGGACCATCTAGTGTAGATGTTAGGCCCACTAAGAGCCTATATTGATGGGTTCAAGGGTTTATTCGGCCAGGCCTTGTAACAGAGGTTGGGTTGAACCCATATGGCTTTCGTGGAGATCAATGCTAGGGTCCCACGCCATACAAAGAGAACCAAGTTAGCCAACAGTTAAAGGAAGTGAGCCTGAAAGCTTAATGGGCCTTAAAAGCCCACATCAAATTGGGTATTTAATTAGATTAAATAAGAAGGTGGCGAATTGGGTTTATAATCAGAATAGGATTAGCTGATGGATAAGATAAGTCTTATCCATTTAAGAGTCCAGATTCAAATACAGATTTGAATGAGGAATTCTTTCCTGATTTGATTAGGAAGATGATCCAAAAGAAGATTATAAATAGGAGGGCAAATTCTCTTCAGTTCAGAGCAATTCTCTTTCTGCTTTTCTCCCTCTGTTCTTGCCGCCACCTACCTTATTCGATCTCATCTTCGACTAATCAAGATTTGATCTTGAAATTATTTCTTGCTAGAAGAAATAATCTTGAAGCTATGCTCACATCCTTGGCGTGATTCTTGCTGAAGAATTGGGGTTCTTGCTAAAGAACCTCCCTGTTGATCCTGCCTCACCCTAAGCTGTGTCACTTTCAGTGGAGGATGGATTTGGCACTCTCTTTGGGCATGAACACCTACATTGGGAGGAGCATTTGCATAGATTCCGTATCAAGTACCTCTCTCCCTAATCTTTTGTTCAGATATGGTCCAGTTTGTTTCAAGAATGATCCTTGAAAAATGCAGTTTCTCTAAAACTAGGAATAGGATTCCCGGAAGGGAGAAAGAAATTTTTGAAATTTCGCCCAGCCTTCCTGCATGGTTCGACCATCCATATGATGGATCTCCCTTCCCTTCAGTACCTAAACTTATTTAAGATTTCCAACGTATGGTACTTACCTAGCTCCAGATTAAGATACAAATCTTCTGGTCTAACAATGCAAAAGAGTACTTTCATGGTGACCTTGCCAAATTTTTTGCTTCATGTGCATCCCTTCATCAAAGCTCATGTGCAAAGACTCCTCAACAAAATGGTGTTGCCAAAAGAAAAAAACGCCATCTCCTTGAAGTTGCTCAAGGCATGTTACTACATATGAATGTTCCCAAATGCTTTTGGATGGATGATGTATTATTCAATGCCTATGTTATCAAATGTATGCCCTCTCGGTTGCTGGATTACAAGACTCCACATCAGCTCTTGTTCCCTAAAGCCCCATTATTTCCTATTCTTATGAGTGTGTTTGGGTATTGGTGTTTTGTCCATCATCTGTCACCAAGGTTTGAAAATTTGCAACATAGCGGTCCATATCGGTCGATACATGGAACATATAGAATTTACATGCTTTGTTTATTTTTGTTAGTATCGGTCCGATATGGGCCCGTATCGGATCGTTACGGGCTTGTATCAGCCAATACAATTTGAATTTAATATTATTCTCTCTTTCTCTTATTTAATTTTGGCAGGTTTTAAATATCAAATTTAATTTCCCTCTTTCTCGCTCAATTTTAGTAACTTTACAAATACAAAAATTTAATTTATATGGCTCTTAATTAATACTTTTATGACATGCCATTAAAGGCAAATGAAATACTGCATTTAAGGCAATGTTCAAATTCGAATTTGAATTTGACATGCCACTAAATTTGCCTATTAAAAAAGCACAAATAGGGGAGAAAGGCATTTGAGCCTTAGTCATCAGCTTGTAATGACTACAAGTTCACCACCATGCCATACCCCAAGTGTATGGCATATTTTATGTATTTTAATTCTTAATAAAACTCTCTTTTTAGTGGATGGATGTCAATAACAACTAAAATTCATTATTAATATATGTATACATACATACATATATATATTAATAAATATTAATTTTAAGAGAATCGGACCATGCATCAACCTGGAAAAAGGAGAGGTTGAACCGGGGTCAAAATGTGATATACATATATAATATTATAAATTATATATTAGATTATAATATATTCAAAATATACAATTATATTCTTCTATAACATTTCTATAACATATTTTTTATCTTAATTTCAATTTTTTTATAAGACAGCTATCTTGAAAAGTTACCCAAAATTAAAAAAAATAAAAAGACCACCCCAACCAGACATCCGAGAAATAAGTTATGGCATTTAGAAGTTTGCATTTATGTGCTAAAAAAATTCAAAAAAACCAGCGGATTTTCTAAAACCGGGACTGGTTCACCAGTTTTCCAATTTGACTAGCCAACTCAATGGTTTTGAGCGGTTTTATACCCAATCCGATTTTGGGGGATAGCTGAACTAACCAGGGGCCCAAGTCATAGTTCAATTGGTCCAACTGGCTGGTCTAGTCTTGTTTTCTAAACAATGATAAATGTTAACACAAATTATATTGATTCTTTAAAAACTAAGGTATGTTTGTATATACACACACATTTTAATTCTTTCATCATTTTTCAACGGTTTCCAATTATGTCATGATATTTCACACTTTGTATAATTCATTGAAATATAATTTTTTATGTTTAAATAACTTATTTATAGTCATATAAAACTCATATTTTTTGTTATCAATATAGTTTTTAGGATTTATATGAGTTTCTCGATGTATCCATGCGTATCTTAATTTTTCGTCCATATCCATCCTTATCCAAAGCGTATCTCAATATGTCTTAAAATTGCCTCTCCGATACACATTGTATTTCCAATACTTTGAACCTTGTCTATCACCCACTCGTGGTAAGCTTGACTCCAAAGCTGCTCCTTGTATTTTCCTGGGTTATCCTTCCACTCAAAAGGGTTACAAATGCTTTATCCCACCTCTTGTAAGTATTATGTTTTCATTGATGTGTCCTACTCTCCTCAGGGTTGAGGAGAAACCAATACAGGTTCAACTTTCTCTTCCTCCTTTTCTTGATCCTCCTCCTTTTCATATCTTCCTTCGTCACTGCAAGGTCCAATAGAGTTTGAGAGCTATGGAGTAGCCTGAAGCAATGCAACCAATACTATCAAAATACTCGAAGACAGATCCTCCTCAACCAGGTACCATTATTCCTATTATTGTTTTCTAATCGCCTTGATATTGATTCCTCTATAGTTAGTGACCTAGACCTTCCTATTGCTAAAAGGAAGAGTATTAGATCCTATACCACTAACCATCCCATTTGACAATATGTTTCTTATGAAAGTGTCTCACCTTCTTTTCAAGCTTTTCTTTCTCCCATTGGTAGTTTTCCTATTCCTAGAAATGTAGCAGAGGCTCTTTTTGTTCTTGAATGGACAAATGCAATGAAGGAAGAAATTAATGCCTTACATAAGAATGGCACATGGGAATTTATAGTTCTTCTAGAAGGAAAAGAACCAATGGGGTGTAAATGGGTTTTTTCAGCAAATCATAAAGTAGATGGTATAGTGGAGAGGTAATAAGGCCTGCTTGGTGGGAAAAGGATTTACTTAGGTGTATGGAACTAGATTAGCCAAGATTAATTCTATCAAGGTCCTATCATTAGTAGTGAACTAGATTAGGAGCTACATCAGTTAGACATTAAAAATGCCTTCTTGAATGGTGATTTAGAGGAAGAAGTGTACATGGTCCAACCTCCTATAGTTCATGCTCAAGGTAGTGAGTTGAAGGTATGCAAGTTAAATAAGTCATTGTATGGATTAAAACAGTTGCCAAGGGCATGGTGTAGTAGGTTTCATCTAGTTGTATAGTAGATGGGGTTTACGTAGTGCCAATCAGATCACACTCTTTGTGAAGAAGGAACTTCATCACTTGTGGCACAATGACCTTTATGACAAGAATGATAGCCATCTATTTTTCACCTTATGTGACACAAGGGCACAAGTGTCTTTTTACCTTCTTTTGTAAAGTCGCTACATAAAAATATAAGGACTGGAGCCGCCAGCCTACTTGAACAATTTTGATATCAAAATCATAGGATATTGATGGCCCCTATAGCCAAGGTTGTAAACATACTGACCTCCTATACAGTAGCACTGTCAAGTGTCAAGTGCTCCTTTCACTGAAGCAATGGAGATGTCTATATGTAATATTGTGTATGTACCGAAGAAAAGTCACAATTTGTACAAAATGTTACCCAATCAACAAAATTAAATTAGAAAACAAAGAAATGGAATAATCTAACAAGGAAAAGCAATAAATAAATGAATTCAAGCCACTAAAAATAAGATTATACAAATTGATAAACATCTATATGCTGCAACAGTAGAAGAAGAATATAAATTAAGAATCAGGTGCCAGACTTAGCAGCATTTAGCAATATATAGAATGAACAAAAAGGACATAGAAACAGAACAAAGAAGATAGCAATAAAAAACCAAACAGAGAAGAAAATAAGAGCTCAAAGCAATACAAAAAAGTGTCGTATAATAATATAAAGACAAGATAGACTTAACCAATAATATATCAGTATGTAACATGAGCAATTCTATGATATAAACATTTACTTTCAGTTAGGTGCTTGCATGGACAAGTGAGACATTTGCTACATTCTACCTATGTGCGATACTAGACTAATTATTTAGTTTCGCACAGACCTATTTGTTTGACAACACTAAAACTGACATGCCACCCACTGGAGATTTAGGTTCTAACTTCATATAGATGTGCAATTAAGTAACAGATATGTGATGGCAATCATCATGCTAGAATAAATGTTTAGCGAGGATTCTTTCCACTTAAGGATCTTACCTGTAGGCTTTTGCAAGTATTCTTGGAGTGGGACCGCTAAGATTATTGAATGACAGATCCCTGTTTCATCATATGACTGTAAATACTATAACTTACATATTCTTGATAATAAAAGGAAAAGTTGAGATGTGGTGGAATACATACAAGAAAGAAAGACCTGTGAGATTAGCAACTGCACTAGGAATCCGTCCAGAAAGCTTATTCTTGCTAAGCCGCCTGAGAATTTGCAAGCATAAGTTGTTAAAGCATAAAAAGCACAAGGTAAACTGACATGCTAACAGTCAACCATGAAAATTAATTGGCCATAACCACAATGGAATGGGCATACTCACAAGTAACTTAGATAAGTCAGAAAGCCCAAAGAACTTGGAATCTCACCAGTAAACTGGTTACCTGAAAGGTCAAGAGTACGAAGCTCTGAGAGCTTCCCCATCTCTACTGGAAGATGACCAGATATTAGATTATTCTGTAATAACCTGAAAATGATATAATTATTTTGCTTATATTCCTTGGATATGATTTTGGCAATGGAAAACCATGTTCATAGTGGAGCATACAAAATCGTTAGGATATAGATATGACTGGCAAACACAATGGCAAGACATTTTTGACAGAAGAAAAGGTCATCACTGAATGTTATCCCAGCTATATGGGGTGAACTCTGGACTGGATATGGACCTAACCTCTGGCATGTTTTTGCAAAAAGTGGGCACTTACAATCTTGAACCCACATTCTCATGCTTGTCATTCCAGGATTTTATGATAAGAGGAAACAAATAACATGGAAATGAATTTAACAAAACCAACATATCCTTGTAAAATATTGGAAAGTTGATAGATCAAGCTAATCTATAGGTGCCTGACTAACCAGCAAGCTTTTGTAAACGCCAAATTTTTTAGGTTCTACAACTCTTTAGATGAATAGCTCTGTAGTGGGAACAATGCTGGAAAAGTTGCACCAAAGTTCACTAAAGCATTTAATGCCTAAGAAAATGAATACCATTGACTGGAAGAGGGAGAGATAAGGTAGATATTGAAGAGCCACAGAACCATAGAATAATGATAAATCTTCACTTTGTGTGAATTTTCACATTCTAAAACTACAGACAGGGTATTCTTCACTTTAACATCTCTATCATCATCAGCACTTCAAGAATTTTTAGGATCTTTTACCCTTATATTCTCCTCTCTTGGAATCTGCTTCTTATTTATGGCATTCTACCCTTTGGCAGAATACCCTGTTACCTATTAAAAAAGCATAGTTTTCTGGCAAACTTTAGAGTGGGTGTTCATATATTTTCTTCACCGTATTTGATTGTCACCTTCCTAAAAGAGGTAGAGGCCCAGAATTTGAACTTGAAAAATGGCCAAACGATATACCTACGAAACGGGTTTGTTAGTTTTCTTCGTTTTTAGTCTATTATATAATTGTTACAAATAACTCCTTGAAAGAGTAGATTAGCTAGCCTTCTAAATGAGGCTGAATATTACCCTGTGCATTAATGGTTACCAAAGGCGTCAAACAGCTTTAAATTACTTATTCCATGAATTAAAAGAATTTATTCATAGGGAATCATTTCAAGGAACTAGGACAAATTAGAGCTAGATAAACAACAGATCAACCTTCAAGGACAATGACTAGCCAAAAATGCAGAAGCGTATTTGTAATATAAATGCAAGCTCTGAAATGGACCATGAATCTTCAGTTGTTTTTTTTTTCCGGTAAGGAATCATCAGTTGTTTAGTGACTCACATTGTTTGAAGGTGACTCAAATTCCCAATGCATGGAGAAAGCAAACCTGACAACCCCTTACTAGCCATTTCTCTGCCATCAAAACCAGAAGTAGAAGAACTATCTAAATAATAGAATTCCAACCTTCAAAAGAATAAGAAAAAAAAAAGTTGGACGACAACACAACACCTAAAAACCACATAAACCCACCAGAAAACAAGACAAGTGCCACTTTTTTACATTTTTTGAGAACATAGAAACTTACAGAGAAATCACAAAACCCTCAGGAGAACAGCCAACCATGTTCCACGTGCAAGGATCAACCGAATTAATATCCCATCCATCAAGAACATGAAGAGTATCTCTCAACTTACTCTTCACAGACATCAAAGCAGCAACTAGCAATCCAAGGGGGAAAAAACAGTTCAGACTAATATCCCCAGAAACAAAGGAACACCAGTGAAGACAAAGTAAACTTTTCGGAAGCCAACTACCTTCATAGTTAACGCCCTTAGGAGAGAGCAGGCTGTCGGAAGCTCGAACTACAGGGAATCGAGCGAATAAGGAGAACTGTAGCAGCAGCAGCAGCAGAACCATCACACACAGTTCCATTGGGGACAGAGCAACAACCAGGAAAGCTGGGCAAAGTCCTTTTAGGATTTCCAGATGTTGTAGTTCTAGGGCTTTGACCTGACAGTTTTTCTGGACAGCACTGGCATTGCAGGTACCACTGCTGGTGCGAATTACAATTAAATCCGCCATTGACAACGAAGAAAGTGGTCCAGAATCTCTGGCCTCGGGGATCGGGCTGCTCTTCCGATGCCCTAACTTAATCGAACTCTATAATATATTTTCTGGGAAAGCGACGAAGAAATTGGCACAGAGCTCTGAGAGAGAGCGGGAAGTGCCCTCGAGATGCGGGAATTTATGACAGAGATTGTCACCATGTCTCCTGTCACAAGATTTGACCGTTAAATCATCGAAATTTAAAGATAATGGAGGGAATAAGAGAATTAGTGGGCTGGGCCCGCAGTGCGATCCACTAAAAGCGAATCCGTTAGTTCTAGGGCCACGAGATGCATGAGTTTTATTAGCTTTGGATCCCGAGGACGTAAACCCTACGGGGCCTTTTTTTTCACCAGGCCCACCACAAAGGAACAAACACCTTTAACTACGCCGCCCGGTCTGAAACAGTTTCTAATTCTAACCGTTGGATCTTGAACTTGAAAAGGCGTTAGTGTAAAAAATTAGGATCCAACGGCGAGGCGGGACCCACTGAATAAGCAATTTTCAAAAGTGTACCCCACATCCGCCGTGGTACCGTGTCCAAAACGGATTCACAATTTTGCCACCTATTTTAGGGGAATAGAGGAGTAATGTTAAAAGTATGCAAACCATTTTTTTTTTTTTTTAATTTGGACTTACAACATCGATCATAAACTTAGGCCTTGTTTGATGATTAATTACTTATTAAAATAAGTAATTTGTGTACTTATTTTAATAACTCATTTTTCAAATAGACCTTTTCATGGGTCGGCTCGAGTCGGGCTTTTACTTATCATTAATGGAAATATGCTAGGCCCGAGCTTGAGCCCAGCCTTGATAAAAAGCCCAAAGCCTGAGCCCGAGCCTGAAGCCTAACCTAATAAAAAAATTACAATTTTCCCTATTCAAATTAGAATTAAAAATTCAGATGTTTTTTTTTCCTATTTAAATGAACAATGGGCCTACAAGATAGGTTTTTTCCCTTTCTTTTACGTTTTAAAACACAGTTTTACATTGCTAAATAAAAAAATTTATTCAAACAGACATAATCACATAACTCATTTTAAGTCTAATTTTAGGTTGGGTCGAGCCGGGCTATTTTTACAAAACCCGAGCCCAGCTCGAATTTATTGTAGACCGGGCTTTTTGGCCCAAGTTTAAGCCCGTGGGCCTATAAACATGTTCAAGCCTGTCCGGAGGCCGAGCTGGCCCATCGGGCCACCCGGCCCATGAACAAGTCTATTTCCAAATCACTTATTATGTTTTTAAGTACTTATTGGGGTGGGAATGTTTAATAAGTTATTTTCCCCATAAGTGCTTATAACACAAGCAATCCAGATGTAGCCGAAGCAAGTTAACAATATCTTGACTTGACGCATTTGATGTTCCTAGTATGAAGAAACAAGCAAAAATAAATAAAAACTTCAAAAATGGAAACCATGAACTCAGCCCGAAAGATCCAACATCCGCATATAAAATAAAATAACCTCTGGGACTTTTATGCTTTAGTTTCACCCCTTCTGTACGACTGAGAAACGTGAAGAAAGAAAGTAAAATCAGATGCACTCACTTTTTAAGTATGAGCCAAAGGGCGTAACTTGTAGGCGGCAATGCAAGTATAGACCCCATAGAATCTGAACCTCAACAATAAACCAGTCAGCAAGAAAAGTAGGCATTCCCCGGCAAAGATGGACATGGACCATACTCTTACGCTCAAATAGAGATTCTAATAAATTGGGAATGGAAGAGCTCCAATAAATAGAACAGCACTGAACATCATCACACCCCCAATTTTCTATCAGAAGCACAGCTGGATCAAGCATTTTCTAGTATAACAGCTTTCCAAATTCCAATTCTAACATTCCGAAAACAAGGCCTCGAGAACATGTACATAATCAAAATAGCATCAAAACCACAATTGACATGGGACTGTATAGCCCTACTACTACTGTATGAACATCAACAGATGCATACAGATTACAGAAAGCACAAAAGATTTAAAAAAAAAAAAAAACAAAGAACAATAGCCTTGTCTTGCGATTTGAAGTCCACAACCACAAGCCGCCACAAGTATATGTAGAATACTCGACCAACCCTTACAACAACCCCACCCTGTTCCTGACATTTTCTTCCGCATCCCTCCCTAGCTACACATGATTCGCTGTTCGCACCATATTTCTACTTCCAGCTTTCTGATCAGTCTAACTGTAACTATCTTAATAATCAGATGAATATACAAAGAAAGAACCAGAAAAGAAAAAGATTGATATACGACAAAAAAAAAAAAAGATAAACAGAGAGGAATGAAGCAGAGCTCTCCCATCACCCATGTAATTATATTATCTTTGCCGAGCTAGACAATGCAGCAGCCTTTCTGACCTGAATATATGATGATTTAACCATACAGAGGGAACCCTCTGTTTCACATCCATTAAGCAGCAGAAATCAATCCCAAGGGGCTCTTTTGGCTTACGTGCCCGCAAGGTGCATGAAATTCATACCAAATTGCCTCCTCACATGCTCAGGTATCAGTTTATTGATGAGCTCTGGTGAAGCCCCAGATAACTGTATTCAAAGGGAAGAAAAATTAGATACAAGGTCAGTTAAGTAAGCTAGCAGCCACTCCAGGAACAAAAAGACAGCAAAAGATCCACTAATTATAAAATTTTTTCTCTTGTGGCCAGTGGCTACTCACGTGCTACCTTTTTCATCATACATATGAAACATTATGTGCCATTACATACTTGATATAATGTACAAATCGGATGATTACATAATTGTAATCGGCTGCTTTTTATGGGTCACTTTAGAGTTCTAGCTAGACATTCTCCCATATTCAACCAGACAGGATGGTGTGATCAATGCAAACCCTGCCATCAGATATCCAAACCTCTGGACTTGGACATGTCTTAATATCACCAAATTAACTCTATATTATACCATGTACTAGACAGTTCTCCAAGTGGTTCAATTGTCTAAACTTCCATTTGGAGAAAGTTCAGGTAGCAAGGATTGCACATCTGTAGTATAAGAGAGAAAATAAAGAAAAAAGGGCAGTTCAGATGAATACTTCCTGTTTGAAGTTGAAGAGAGGGGGTAAAGGACGACCATTAGGAAGACGGGCATTGGCTTCCCGAAGCTCATCGAAGAAAGAATGTGCGCATGCTTCTAGCTGCAGTGACAAAATTAACAGTTAAAAATGAAAAGAATGATGACATTTGTTCTTAGGCTCAGTTTGGAAGGAGTACAAATACAAATATGTACAGTACAAATACATACAAAATGTAAGGTTTTGCACTCTACATATTTGTATTTGTACTCCTTCCAAACTGAGCCTTAAAATCAAACTCACCACATTTATCTTTATATACACAAATACAGCTGATTTACCCTTTTGTACTACTGTAAATATTTTTTCTTTTGGGGAGAGACAAGATCATCACCAATATTAAGGCAGTTATTAGTTGTTAAGAAATACCACTCTTTCTTTGAAAGGTAAAGGTGTAACTGTATTGATCCAAAAAAGGGGAACACGCAGAGATTACAATATCAGCCCCTTTTTGAGGGAAAAGGGCAGTTATTAAGAAATACTACTAACCGCAGTACATCGGAGACTTGGTGAATATTGAAGAAGCCTTGAAGCAAGATCTATCGCTTCTGGAGGCATTCGTTTGTGGAAGACCTGAACCAAGGATTTAAACATACATCCAAGTGATTTTCAAAAGCAAGAAAGGAAACAAAATAACTTGAAACAAGTAGCATGATTTTGTTAAGTATTCAACCAAAACATGCTATTTCCAAAGGATAGTCATTTACTGCTATGTGCTATGCATGACTTGGGATAGTAAACTGCAAAAATGACTTAAAACCCAGACTGCAGAAAAGATCTAAACTGGTAATAAAACAAAACCAATATTCAAATGACTAGCTTCACAAGAGTGTTCAAATTGGTGCAGCTTAGGAGTATCTTCACTGCACCAACCACCCATACTTCTAAACTTCAGTAACTGCTATATTTTTTCCTGCATCATATGTGAGCATCCATGTTAAACACAATTAGGCTTTACATATTGCCATGTATACCAAAGAATGTCCTAGTGTTTTGACTTGGATACAGTAACAAGTTAGAAATATAAAGGGAACCATTCCCTACTCCCATCCTTTCAACCCTAAAGCAAGTAAAAAATTGTGATTTTTGAAGAACACAAGTAGACTGGAATATCCAACAAAGTTGCATGTGGTTGACTCCTTAACTATGATGCAATCTCATGCTTTTATGGATGCACTTTACTTTTATAAATATGACTACAGATCCCTTTCTGAATGCAAATCCGATCTGTGACTTTTAGGCACGAGTGTTATCTTATCACACTTGCTGTTGATCTTGTTTTCTTATAGTGATTGCGTTTGATTACAATATGAAATATTCATGCCAGATTTTCAATTTCTAATATACAATTTTTCAGGGATTCTGATTTTCACAATATTTTTACAAGAGTGCCAGCAGTTCCATGACATATGTCTACTTCCAGAGCCAGATAAACCAAATAATAGTACCATGCCTGCTACACACCAAGCCCCAGGAAATATGACAACCTTCAAACTGAAGAAAAGTTGAAAGGTTTATAAAGATTTTCTTGACAATTGATATTCAATGAATATCAATGAACATTTCTCCAGAGTCCCCTATTCTTCTTCCAATGATAAAACAATAGCTTCTAAAACGACCATAATTTGGGTGCACAACCCACTCTGAAAACCCTATTAATCAAAAAAACACATACACTCAAATGCTACCTTGTGCCAAGGGTGAGCTTTTATCTGTGGAAACCTAAACTCAGTGTAGTTTGGGTTCATGCAGCGAATTTCTTCTCGTGTTGGAGTACCAAGAACCTGCACAAAGGCATTAAGTGATCAAACCACTAGTGTAATTGTATGGCATCCATGAACATTTTAGTAAATTTAGGATTTGTGGCTTAAGGACCCATGTACAGGTTCTCTACAGTATGTAGAGTTTAGAAGCATGTACAGTTATGCAATCTACAATACACTTAAAGAGTCCAGCACAACACATCAATATTCAATATTAGATGATCAATTAGGAGTACTTTTACCTGTGTTTATTTGCAGTGGTATATAAGATATTATATTAAAGATTAAAATTACATAGACCAAGATCAAGTGAATGTTCCCCCTCTCGCCAAGGCGCAAAATCTCAGTTGGGCCCAATCAATATAATTGTTGTAGTTTGTACATGAGATACAGGTGCAGATATGACATTTGATACCCGAATATGTCACCAAGCCCCAGAATCAAGACATTCCATTAACTTTCATAGGGAAAATGAAGCTTACCTTGATGATCTCAACAAGCTGGTCAACTGCACTTTCTCCAGGAAATAATGGCTGTGAAAATTTAGAATTCAGAGAACATCAGCATAAATTATTACAGGAACCAGACTAGAACTTTCTTTCAAAACACTATGAGAAAATGCAGGATCATTCGTCCAAGGCCCCGTTTGGTTTGCAGGAATAGGGATCTGGAATCGGAATCAGAATGGGCTATTCCGATTTCAGCTGTTTGGTTGGGCAGAATCGGAATTCCATTCCCGTTCCTGCTGGAATGGCATTCCCCCATTTGAGGGAATGACCATTCCCCGCCCCTCCCTTGGGAATGAAATCTCATTCCAGCTGATTCCAATTCCCATTCCCATTCCTGTCTGAACCAAACAGACTATGGCTATTCCGATTCCAAGGCCCCGTTTGGTTTGCAGGAATAGGGGTCTGGAATCGGAGTCAGAATGGGCTATTCCGATTCCAGCTGTTTGGTTGGGCAGAATCGGAATTCCATTCCCGTTCCTGCTGGAATGGCATTCCCCCATTTGAGGGAATGACCATTCCCTGCCCCTCCCTTGGGAATGAAATCTCATTCCAGCTGATTCCAATTCCCATTCCCATTCCTGTCTGAACCAAACAGACTATGGGAATAGGCCATTCCAATTCCAAAGGATTTCGATTCCGATTCCGGCTGCAAACCAAACAGACCCTAAGATGTTTAGAAAATTGCATACCTGGCCAAGAAGCAGCTCAGCAAGAACACAGCCAGCTGACCAGATATCAATGGATGTTGTGTATTCAGTTGCATCAAATATGAGTTCTGGAGCCCTGTAGTAACGAGAGCATATGTACGATATGTTTGCTTCACCCTTGACCTGATAATATAATTCTTGATGAATACCATCAGAAGAGGGAAAACGGTTCAACCAAAAACACATAAAGCCATCAAATCATGGGCAAAAAGTATTCTCATCTTTTAAGTTACCTTAAAAGGTAAAAACAGATTTCAGAACTGGGTACTTATAATATGCCATGTGAATGGCAGAAAAGGATTGCTTAACAATTCAATACAGGAAATCTACTTTGAAAAAAAATATTAGTATATAGATAGATAGAGAGAGAGAGAGAGAGAGAGATAACAAGAAGAATGAAACAGCAAGGGCGTCAATTGGAATGAGGCTCCATTCAGGTTCAAACTTGTACTAGACAAATATAAGACTACATAGTTTTAGAATTTATAAAGGACAAAATTTTATATTTGCGAAATATGTTTTTCCTTTTCCTTTTCAATCTTTACGATAAAGTTCAAATTTAGAGTTTTTATAACAATTGTTTAACAGATCAGGTCTGCAAAACCATATCTCATTCAGACATGTCCCTGGAGTGGCATAAAATAAAAGGTTTTCAATATCTGGAACCAACCTTTTTTCTGATGAATCTGGAACCAACCTTTATACCCATGCCAACTGGAACATACAGTTGAACATTTTGAGGGTCAAAGGGCAGGCATTGCAATTACCATAACATGCTAGAGAACAACAAGAGAAAACTAAGGAGTTTAGATTTTGGACCTCGTCACCACAAAAAAATGGAAAATAGAAAACAAAACTCTGGAATACCTGGAGAGTAAGAGAGAAAAGCCAAAAAATACTAGAAAAAGAAGAAAAATAAATTCTTATTCAATTTCTAGGAGGCCTGAATGTTCTGCTTCTGGCAAAGTTATCACATCAAGCTTCAGTACTCCAACTCAAACGTTATACAATTGTAACACCTCTACTTAAGTGTGTTGCTTCAGAGTTGACACAGCAGAGTACCTTGGTAACACTATTTGACAATTAATTTTGGTGTGGGCATGTGTACCAATTAAGCAACAGTATCAGGAATAGATGCCAGCATTAACATAAATGTTGCACAATAATGAAGGCAGTCTAAATAAGATTGCAAACAAGACTTCATGCCAATTATATATAACCAACAAATACTAAAAAATTAACCTGACACTGGTGGGAGAATCTGCATGACAATAAACAGAAACAGGGAACCACACAGACTGGCTAAGCACTATCAATAAACATGGTTCCTACCATGGAAATCTAGCTCATAGTTCAGTGCAACAAGCATATGCAGCACAAAGCCTTAAAGCATTACTGATGAGATCAGTGAAGCAACTTCATCTTGATTAAAAACATAAATTATTGCCTTGTATAACCTCCCAGACTATGGGACTTTACTACATATGTATCTAGAATGGGTATTCTACAGGATAACAGGACATAACTACTAAGACATGCCAAATCCAGTACTAGAGTGGTGATGCAATTCCATTTAACTTTTAAGTCATGAAAACTGGAATTTACAGCCTCCCATACAATGCAATTTCACTCTCTTTATAAAGAGTGTAAAAAGGCCATTATGTTGGTTCTGACAATCCAGGATCTTGGGAGGAGTCGCTGGATATGGATCTAACCAGATAACCTCCAGCATTTTAGCATAAAGTGACTCGTCTCAGACTCAAATGGTCAAACCCATGTTCTCATACTCGCCAGCCTGAGATTTTACCATCAGAACGAGCCATCACCCTATACAGAGAGAATATACCAAGGAAATGGAAGGGTTAAATGTCTTATAGGAAATAACTATTAAGATACACAAACCCCATACTAGATAGGGGTGCAGGTCAGGTTGCCCAAATTGATGAACTTCAACTGCATCAGGCTCGGGTTAGGGTTTGTGCCCATTCAAAATTTAACAAATGCTCAACCCAACCCACAGTGTACCCCTAACACCAGAATTGATGATGCTACAATATAGGGTTTGGTATTAGCATTGCACCTTAATCAATAATAACATAAAGACTTCCTCTTCAAAACCACATGTAAAAGTAATAATAGATGTCTTAGTAAATGATAAGTCAGTCCATAGTGAATAACCGTTATTTATGAGCCTCATCCTTTCACCAAGGCTGTAAAGGTGTACTTTTTCAATAAATCTGGACTCATTATGTTTTTTTAAACATCAGGAATCAGAAGCGAGTCTATTGATATGGATCCACTAATGTTCTCAAGGCTATTACAATACAACAGAGATGGGTTTTTTAAATTTCTCAAAGGTTCCGGTTATTTAGAACAAAGAAGGGAATGGAAAAATGGATAACACAGATTGACATGGTTTGCACATACCAAAATCTTTGCGCTTCCAAAGTCACAAAGCTTGACCTGGTGAGTAAGAGGATCAACCTGCAGAATAATTTTTTTTTTTCAATGGACTGGAAACAAATGTATTAGGAAGCAAAGAGAAGATGACAAGCTCCAGGAAAGCACAAACAAGTGAATACCCATAATAAGATAAGCGGCCATAAAAACCCATTTGAAAATTATGCATTCAAAAAAGGGCATACCAAAAGATTCTGAGGCTTTACATCCCTGTGGCAAACTCCAGGAACAGTGTGAATATATGCCAGCCCCCTAAATATCTGGAATAGAAACCCCAATTAAGTATCAAGAAAGGAAAAAAAAACAAGTGCAAAGCATTATATAATAAAAATAATCATACAACATACTTGGTATGTATAGAGCTTCACATAGATCAATGGCATCCTCTGACCAACATTGCTATAGTGCTTCAGAACCCGGTAGAGGGTCTCCGGGACATATTCCATGACCAAATTGAGAAAAAGCTCATTCTTACTAGTGGTGGAAAAGAAACAGTGCTTCAGAGAAATCACATTTGGATGATCCATTGAGCGCATTAACTGCAGCTCGCGATTTTTATACCGCCTATCCTGGAGAACCTTCTTAATTGCCACAGTTTCTCCAGTCTCTAAGCATTTTGCCTGGAAGAATGATAAGAGTACAAGCAGTGAGCAAGATCGGAGATGAAAAATGTAAGAAGATAAAACTCCTGCAAACCTACAATCTATACCTGAAAAACAATTCCAAATGACCCAGTACCCACAACTCGTTCTGCCATGTAACTGATGGTCTGAAATGACAGGTAACAAATATGTCAGCTTTCAAATTGTGAGAAAAGAGGGAAGAAAAAAGAAGCCATGAGCATTGAACTACTACACATGATCAGGAGTTTAGTAATTTGAGTGCATCTAATAAAAACAATTAAAAGTCATACGCCTGAAGAAATCAGGCAAGATCATGCAACTATCTAAAAACTGTTTCAACCTACTTGCTTTTGAGAACTTTTGGATTTTCAACAAGAACGTATTAACTACTTGATAAGAACAAAAAGAATTGCAAATTAGTGGAGTCAATGAATGATTACAAAAAATATTTAATCAGTAAGATTAAGCACTAACCCGCTTGGCTTCTCCATTTTTGCCTCCAATGGTGGTAGAAATGATGTGACCAGTGACTGGATCATTCCCCTCAATGACAGGAGTTGACATTTCCTGCAATACATATGAACTCTAAAAATTCAAACGGAGGCTACAATGCAAATAAGGTGCGGGTAGTAAGGAAGAACGACAAAAATAATCCATCCCACATGGAGCATCTAACCATCACAGTCGAAGTACAGTAATAAGCCTAAGGAAGCACACTACCTAAACTAAGTAATAAGAAAAATAACAAACACAATAGAAGGTGAAATGACCCCATAAAAAAGAAGCAGGGTGAAAAGGAAACCAAAAGCAAAGATCTCAGAAAATTCGTAAAAGAGAAGCAGCATGGAAAGGTGGTGGCTTCCAAGAAAGAATCAAATGCCCGAAAGCTTGACGATCAAAGCGGAAATGGGCGAAGCATCAATCAGAGAATAAAACAACTAACATCATGAAGCAAACTATATCAGATTGAAGGACAAGCAAATGAGAAATGGAAACGAAAAAGGATTATCACGTACAAAAAGGAAAAAATAAAGAAAGAAAAAACGTAAAGATCGAAAGAAAAAGCATCAAGCAAACCTCAAAGGGTGAAGCCAGACCAAAGCGCAAGAAAACATCAAACACCCAAGCTTATATAACTGGATTCCCCAATAAATTGTAATATACCCATCTGAGATCGGGCAAAGCTCGAAAGTCGAAAAACTAACAAACCCTAGAAGAGGGAAAGCACCTCAGAAATAGCAATGACAAAAAAGATAACAAAAATCGCCTCAACCTCACCAATCAATTTCCGTCAAACGAGAACAGGAAATCAACAAAAACTAAAAGAAAATTGAACAAAATATGGAGGAAAGAAGCATGTGAGATCGTAGCAACCTCCATAAATTTTGTTGTGATCATCAAGAAATGATCAATGTACAGAAAAACGAAAAAGAAACATGTAAGCACAAAATCTTATTAGAAGAGACAGATCAAAAGCCAGAATACAGAAAAATAATTTGACCGGAAAATTAATCCTTTGATAAAATCTCACTAAAAAGTCAATTTCTCCTGCAGATTATTTCCGTTCAATCTTAGACAAAAGGCACGAATAAATGCTACAAAGTCACTAAAAAATCCACGTAACAGAAACAGAGAGATCACCGAAAAATAAGTTACATAAATGTAGAACCTCTACGGTTAAATCACTAAAAAAAGCTAAAATGCCAATAAATGGAAAAGCTCGAAAGCACAGAACGATGTCGAAGAAATCTACAAATCTTCTCGGAAATCATGGAATCTCGCCGTAAATACCTTATCATCTCCCATCTCTGACCGACGAGGCGCAATCTTCACTGCCTCATTCTCTGGTGGTGGTGGTGGTGGTGGTGGTGGTGGATGAGGCCCCAGCGGCAACGAGGCCATGTGGAGTACAGCTCTGCTTAGTCTCTCTCTTCTCTCTCTTCCCTCGCTTCTTTTCTCTCTCTCTTTCCTCTTCGTTTCCTCTCTCTCTTCAAAATACTGTAATAAATAAAACAATTAAATATTAAATAATTTCGTTTTCTCCGAAATATACTGACAATTTAACACAATTACCAAAATGACCTTGAACAGGGTGACGGCTCCCTCCTTACAGTTTAATTTGACGAAACTACCCCTAACAGGGTAGAATTCTGACAAAAGCTGCTTTGACTGACATGGTGACGGCTGGGGACCCGACGGGATCCCGCAAACCAGAGAAGGGTGCTTAATCATTCGATTGGTGTCCAAAGCGTTCGTTGTGTTGGATAGATTCTAATCTGACGGAAAGAAGGTTCCTCTCGGCTCTTATTCGTGGTCCTATCAAAGTTCTTTGTCGTTTTCTTGTATGGTACTGCAGTGGTTTGGATTAATATTAGGGGTAGTTTACGGATGCTCTGATTTGATGAGAAGGGAAAGTTTTCTAAAAGTCTACTAAATTATGAAACCACCCTTATCAGTGTAATAACTGGATAAAATGAGACCAGTGATCCTCTGTTCCGCCAAACAGGTTCCAGATGAGGGTAACCATGAGCCGAGCCGGTTCGATCGGGTAACTCGGGTATGATGAGATAACGCCATAAGGGTTCAGATCCAGCCCGGCCCCCCGAGTGGTGGCCGGTGAAGATCGGTTTGGTTCACTTTTTTCTCTCCTAAGGCATCATTTGACTGCAGCACAATTTTTATTTGCACCTGTGTAAATATGCAGAAGAGTACAAATGGGCTGAGTGAGTATAAATTGTGGTTTAGCTTCAGATTTTCTTTGCCTTGTTTTGTGACAAGTAAAGAATGAAGCGAAATGACATGCTCCCACTTTATATGAAAAAGAGTATAGGTAGAAAGGTTATTTGTGTAGGAGGTAAAAATTGTGCAATCTCTATTTTCTATTTTGTATGAGAGAGGATCAAGGTAGGAGGTAAAAGAGTACAATCTCTATTTTGTATAAGAGAGGATCAGGATATTTGAAAGGTGGTGCAAATATTATATCAATTTTTTCAGGCTGTTTTTGGTTGCAATGCAATTTTATTGTGGTAATACAGATGCATGGGAGTACAAATAAAAATAATGCAAATTCTGGTTTAATTGTATTTTGGGTTTTACTTTATTCTGCTTTAAGTCTTATATTCCATTTGTACCGAAATCAAACAAAATAGGGTAAATTGCATTACTATAGTTTTGTATTAGTGCAAATTACATTCAAATGCAGCCTTAGATGTAAATTTTGCACCTCCAACGAGTATAAATGAGACAAAAGTGCAAATTACAGTCACAAACAAATGAAATGCATAACTGAACCAGGTGAAAATTTTATATCCCGTTCAGATTTACATTGCAAATAAAAAGAGCCTAATGTGTTCGGTAAGAGTGCAAAAAGTAAATGCACTAATGTAAATGCAAATTTGTTCAAAATAAATACAAGGATGCAAACCCTGTTCAGTTTTGCACTGAGAATTTGTAGTGTCTTGTTTGGTTGTTATGGGTGCAAATATGAATCTCAGTGCTGAAACCAATTTATTTTGTATTAACCAACCTTGAGTGCAAAGTTTTGTTCCATCTTGAATGCCAAAATGGATGAAATACTTTCATTTTCAATACAAAAATGCATTCTTAACAAATGCCTACAAAACCGATCCAAGAGTGCAAATTCTCTTCAATTTTGCACTTGCACTCTTACCAAATGGCAAATGCAGCCTACATTCAAAGTTTTCAAGGGCAATTGAAAATGCAAATCGGGTATATTCAAGGTGGGGAGAGGGATAAATTTTAAAAATGTAGATGAGTAAAAGAACCATTGTTTTTTGCATTCAGGTTCATAAAATTTGCTTAGAAAATGATTTGCTTTTCTTTTTCAAACTATCGCATAGCTGTGTTTGATTGTCGTGTAAATATCACACTAGTGTTATATTACACTCTGGTCCGGTTTTGTAGTCGTTTGGATAAGGCATAAATAACAACTGAAAATCAATGTAAAACAACATGTAGATCGAGTTTTACATCAGTAATCGAAGGGAAATGTAAACAAGATAAAACTCTCCCCTTCATGAGTGTACAATGGACCCACCGATCTGATTCCCATTTACACTCATATAAACCAATCGAAGGAAAACTCCATGGTGTAAAACTGTATTTACACTATTTCAAATACAACCTAAGTGACCTCAACCAAATCTCAAATTAGATTTGTTCATGGGCCGGGCCGGGTTTTGTCTTTATATTTAGAAAATATATTCAGGCCCAACCCAAGCCCGGCCTAACCATCGGGCCTAGGTCTTGAGCCCGAGTTCGGCCCTTATACAAAGCCCGAAGCCCAGGCCCAAGCCCAAACCCAGTAAAAAAATTGGAAAAAGATTCTTTTTTTTTTCTTTTTTTATCCAATAAAAAACTGTTTTATTGACATTAAAAGACCTTAAAACCTAAAAAAAATAATGAAAGATCTCATTATAACTTGAACGAAGAGAATAATAATAAAATATATATATATATATATTATATAAAATATTTTTATTATATAATACATTATCAAGTTAGGCTTAAGCTTGGGCTAGGCTTTTTTGAGAAAGCCTAAGCCCGGCCCCAAAAAGGTTGGGTTCGGTGTTTTAGGCTCGAGCCCAATCTTGCGAGCCTAAAATCCTGTCCAAGCCTAACTTAGATCGGGTTGGGTTGTCAGGCTACTCGACCCATGAACAGGTTTATCTCAAATTGAATAAAGAGGATTGCAAGCATTTAACCCATTATCATCATCTTTAAATAACTTATGTGCATGCTCACAAGGAAGGAAATCAAGTGGCAAACTATCTCACAAATGAAGGTTGTGCATCTAACATAGAGTCTGAGTTGGATATCCCATGGGAGTTAAGCTTCATTTTGTTTTTTGGATTCCTTTGGTTGTTCTTTTTGCTCAATTATGTTAGCCTTTGTCATTCTTCCTCCATAACTAAAAAAAAGGAGTCAAGTGCCAACTTGGTGCCTTCCCATCTATCGTCTTGCCTCCCAAGTCTAATGTTAATTGCACTATTTTCAAATATGACCAAGTTTCTAAGGAACTTTTAATAATTTTTACAATACAAAAATAATAATAATTAATTTCAGCAAAGGGTTGTTTAGAGGTGTAAATCGGGTCATGTCGCCCATGGCCCAACACAATTTTGGATTGGCCTGACACGGCTCAGCATGGGTCGTGGGCCAGTAGTGGGCCAAGCCCCAATAGCTATAAACAACTATATAGGGGGTATTTATGTATTTTGACTTGGGGAGAAATGACAAAATGCCCCCCAATAGATATATAACAACTAGTTTGGGGGGCATTTTGGATAAAGTGATCAATGACCAAAATACCCCTTCCAACAACTAAAAGATGACTAGTTTTTAAGGTACTTTGGGCAATTGAATTATTTTCAATTCCTATAAATAGCCCTATCTTCCACCATTCTCATCACACCAATTCAATAATTATCTTCTCATACACTCCTAGTAGAGGTGTAAATCAGGTCATGTTGCCTGTAGCCCAACCCGACACGTCTCGACATGATGGCACGTGGGTCGTTCCAGGCCCGACATGATCATGTGGGTCGTATTGGGCCTAGGGTTTTAGGTCTGCAACCCTGCCCAACATGGCCCAACACGACCTATATATATTATTTATATATATATAATATTTATATATAGTATATAATATATTAATTTATTTTACTATTGTATAAATAAATAATTATATACACCAAAATTCATATAAAATTAAAATTTTAAGTTTTTTTTCAAAATTTTTAAATAAATAGCTTTGGCCTAATCCACGGCTTGGCCCGGCCCACGGGCCCGCATGGGCTTTGAATATGGGCCGTGTTGGGACACCCCCCAAGTTATCCCAAGGGAGGGTGGCACACCCCGCAGGTCACTCGCGAGCCTGATTTACACCTCTATCTTTTAGGCTCTCATACTCTCAGGCACTCTCAATACTCTCTCTCTACTCTTCAATTCCAAAGTCTTGACTAGTTTCTAGTTTCAACAAGAAGGCTCTCAAGTATCTAGTCAGCTCCTCATAAAACCAAACATAAATTAGGCATGGGGGTTTTGGTACTTTTAAATATTCACAAGAAAAAATGAGGCAAGAGTTGGCAAAATATATTGTATATGCTAAACAACCATTTTTATTAATTGAGGATACTAAACTTGAAAACTTTTTACGTAATTATGTAAATCCTCAATTTAAAAAGTTTCTAGAAATACTATTAGAGCATATGCTTTGAAAATCTTTTATTCAAATAAACAAAATTTAATTTCTATTTATCAAATCTTAATTATAAAGTTGCAATTACTTCTGATATTTGATATTTGTGTTACCGATCATTTTATTGATGAAAGCTAGTTTTTACAAAAAAGAATTTTAAGTTTTACTAGGTTTGAATGGCTACATACTAGCTTAGCTATTACTGCAAGTATTTTAAATACTTTACATGCTTATGGAATTGATAATAAATTTTTTTCTATTAGTTTTGATAACACTAGTAATAATGATTCAGCAATAAATACTTTAAAATCTCAATTAAAAGTTTAAACCATGTTTAAATGGAAAATTATTTCATATTAGATATGCATGTCACATCTTAAATTTATGTATTCAAGATGCTTTAAATATTATTTCTCATTATGTTTCTAAAATTAGAAATTGTATTATATATATTAAAAGTTATGGAGCAAGAAAACAATAATTTAAATATTTATGTCATACTTATGGTTTAAAATATAAATCTTTTCTATTAGATGTTCAACATAGATGGAACTCTACCTATTTTATGTTAGAAAGTTGTATTCCCTACAAACAAATTCTTACTAATTTTTGTAATGCATAAATTCCTCATGATATTATACCTGATGAAGATTGGAAAATGACAACTTGTATAAGAGATTTTTTACACAATTTTTATGATAAAACTAATGAATTTTCGGGTGTTTATTACCCAGTTAGTTGTCTTTTAATTAATTAAT